AGGCCCCAGCCCCCTCTTCCCTCAGACCCAGGAGTCCAGCCCCAGCCCCCTCCTCCCTCAGACCCAGGAGTCCAGCCCCAGCCCCCTCCTCCCTCAGACCCAGGAGTCCAGCCCCAGCCCCCTCCTCCCTCAGACCCAGGAGTCCAGGCCCAGCCCCCTCCTCCCTCAGACCCAAGAGTCTGGCCCCCTCCTCCCTCAGACCCAGGAGTCCAGGCCCCCAGCCCTCTCCTCCCTCAGACCCAGGAGTCTGGCCCCCTCCTATTCGCTGTATCTAAAGTTGACCTCAGCAACTCCTTCTGCTCATTGTCCCGTTTGTCATGGGCCAGAGTCCTGGGCCTTGCCCTGCATGCCTCCTGTCTCTCATCCCCAGGCCCATCACTCACCATGTCCTCTCCTTCCTGCCCTAAACTTATCCCTCTAGTTCATCTCTTCTCCATCCCACAGCCCAGGCCCCAGTTTGGGTCTTCTCCTCACTGCTTGGAGGACTCATGAAGAGCTTTCTCCCTGATCTCCACCTCCCTAATCCATTCCGCAGAGGGAGGATTCCAAACCTAGATCCTACTCCATCCTTCCCTTGCTCGTAATCCTTCCGTGACTCCCTGGTGCCGCAGGATAAAGTCTCCTCAGCCTGGTTTACTAAACCCGATATGTATGAGCTGCGCCCTGTCCACCTTTCCACCGTCACCCCCATTGTGCTCCCCGTCTCTTCCCACAGCACATCCCCTTCCATCCTGACTAGAGTTTGCCCCCCAAACTTCCTGTGCTTGTCAACCTCCATGCGTTTGCACCATGCTGTTCCCTCTGTCCAAAATGCCCTTCCAGCCTCCTCAACGGCACCAGGTCTAAATGCTCTCTGATTTTTTTTTTTTTTTTTTTTGCAGCCATCACTGTTTATTTGCAAAATGTTTTCATTACCCCGAAAGAAACTTGTACCCATTAAACAGTAACTCCCCAGTCCCTCCTCCCTCCTGCCCCTTAACCACCCCTCTGCTTTCTATCTCTATGCATTTGCCTATTCTAGATATGTCATACAAATGGGATCACACAACATTTGTCCTTTTGTGACTGAGTTGTTTTACTCGCCACAATGTTTTCCAGGTCCATCCATGTCATAGCAGGTACCAGAACTTCATTTCTCTTTATGGCTGAGTAATATTCCACTGTGTGTATATAGCACATCTTGTTTACCCATTCATCTGTTGATGGCCACTTGGGTTATTTCCACCTTTTGGCTATTGTGAATAATGCTGCAGTGAACATTTTGTACAAGTGTCGGTTTGGACCCCCGCTTTCAGTTATTTTGTATGTATATATATAGGAGTGGAATTGCTGGATCATTTGGCAATTCTATGTTTAACGTTTTTAGGACCCGCCAAACTGTTTTCCACAGCGGTGACACCCCTTTACACCCCCAATTTCTTCACATTCTTCACATTCACAGTTATTATTTTCTGGTTTGTTTCGATCATAGCCCTCCTAAACCAAACCAAACCAAACCCGTTGCTGTCGAGTCGATTCTGATTCATAGCGACCCCATAGGACAGAGTAGGACTACCCTATTGGGCTTCCAAGGAGTGGCTGGTGGATTTGAACTGCCAGCCTTTTGGTTAGCAGCCGAGCTCTTAACCACTTCGCTGCCAGGGCTCCATAGCCATCCTAGTGGGGGTGAAGTGCTATCTCATTGTGATTTTCGTTTGCATTTCTCTAATGACTGATGATGGTTGAGCATCTTTTAATGTGCCTATTTGCCATTTGTATTACTTCTTTGGAGAATTGTTGGTTTGAGTCCTTTGCTCATTTTTTGATGGGGTTGTTTGTCTTTTGGCTGTTGAGTTATAGGAGTTCTTTATATATTCTGGATGTTAAAGCTCTATCAGAATTCCAAATATTTTCTCCCATTCTGCAGGATGTCTTTTCACTTTCTTTTCTTTTGTTGCTCATGCTTTTGGCGGCCTATCTAAGAACCATCACTAAATACGATATCCTGAAGATTTACCCCTATGTTTTCTTCTAAGCATTTTATGGTGTTAGCTCATATATTGAAGTCATTAATCCATTTTGAGTAAATTTCTGTGCTCCCTGATTTTTACGTTTCTCTCTAAACCCCCACATCCGGGAAGCCTTGGATTAATGCAGGGCAGATTGCTTCCTTCTTTGGGTCTCCACAGCCCCCGTGTCTCACTGGAGTCCCTGAGCAGTGCAAATGGTTAATGAACTCGGCTGCTAACCGAAAGATTAAAGGTTTGAGTCTACCCCGAGGTACCTCGGAAGAAAGGCCTGGTGATCTACTTCCACAAAATAAGCCATTAAAAACCCTATGGAGCACAGTTCTATTCTGACACACATGAGGTTGCCATAAATTGGAATTGACTCAATGACAACTTTTTTTTTAAGTGTCTCACTGCCCTGACTGTCCAGCTGTGACTGGCAGTGTCCTTCTTGGGCCAGGGGCTGATACCTCTGTGACCCTAGTGCCACCTGTCATGGAGAGGTTTTTGCATTCATTTCTTCAACAACTGTTTACTTTGCACCTACTCCAGGGCAAATGTGTACAAGAGTGAAACAGACAGACAAGGCCTTGTCCTCACGGAGCCGAATCTCAGGCAGGGGTATGAGACCTGGCTGGCCTGGCCCTTGCTGGCCTCTGTTTCTCTGTCTCTGGTCAGGCTGAGGCTGAGACCCTATTGTGTCTTTCAGGAACAGAGACGGCTTAGGCAGGAGCGGGACCGTGTGGAGGGTCTTCGCCAGAGACTCCGGAAGGCCCAGGGACAGCTCAACTCACAGCCAGAGGACCAGCGGGAGCGGCTTCTGCAGGAGGTGCAGGAGGTGAGGGCCTCCCGACCTCTCAGGGACCCGGTGTCCAGCACCCACGAGCCCAGGCCCCAGCCCTTCCTCCTTCAGAGCCTGGAGCCCAGGCCCCCAGCCCTTCCTCCTTCAGA